CTGTTAGAAAGACTGCTCATAAACTGTTGAACCAAAAAAGAAAAATAAATTCATGCGCTAATAGAAACCATCACTTTATTTCTTTAAAAAAAAAGAAATACTATGAGAGAGATTTTTTTAGACCATCTATAGGTCACCCTTGTTCTTGAAAAATCAAGAACACTTCTCCATTCCTCTGAGATCCGACCTCACTGTCCAGGGTTGTGTGGTCAAAAAGTCCACTTCTCTCTTTCCTAGACATCTCTACACCTCCACAGTTATGTAATCTGGACCAACTCTTCATAGTTGCCCTCACTTCCTCCTCTCTGTCTCCTACTTTCTACATTCATCAGCTCCTCAAAGTACTCCTTCCATCTTCTCAACACACTCTTCACTTGTTAGTACATTTCCCCTAACCTGACTCACACCCTTTCCAGGTCGATCACTCCGTCCAGTCAGTCGGTACAAACCTTTTTTTTCATTCCACAGTGTCCAGCCTCTTATACAACTCACTACAAACATTTACTTTGTCCCAGTGTCTACTTTCCTCACTTTTTCTCTGGTAGCTTCCTTTGAAAAATTTCCCTTACTTCCTCATTCGATCACCATTCCCTCACTTCCTCATTCCATCCATCACTTGAGTGATATGACAGTGGAAAAAAAGGAGAGATCTTCTATTAAGTGTCAGATGAATAATAACTAAGCTCACCCAGAGCCTCGTCGTTGTCCTCCGTGTCACTTGCCAGTCTGAACAGTGTTGGCCTCATTTTCTCACAGCGCTGATACAGGTCCTGACCACACAGCACACACACCACATTAAAAAATACTTTAAATGGAGACGGCTTCAGGTTGATTTACAGCTTGATCTTTTGATTTAAAGCATCTGTCTTTTTCTCACCTGTATGAGTTCAGCATTGCTCTGATCGGTGGCCGTGCTGTCGTAGTCCTGCAGAAGCTGAGTCAGTAAAGTGACGCTCTCCTTTACCTCCTGAATGGCATTCACCCGCTTTGACACCTTCTCTGCACGCCTCTGATCCTAAAACCAACGAGACACAAACTCACAAACTGCACACATACCGGGTTTTGGCCAAAAGCAAGTGCACATGTAGGAAACAGTCATGAACGGACCAAACTGTGGTGACCTGTAACACAACAAACACAGCCAGAGGCAGTAAAGCAAGAGCGCAGCAAGGTCAGGGAGAAATCAGTTCAGGTTCACGGATGAGAGCAAAGACTAATTCCTGTTAGACATGAAAGGAGTACAAATTTACTCTGAATCACTCTGCAAAAGACGCAAACACCCACAGGGCAATTTCCCAATTTCCTCTTTCAGTTATTGCTCCGCTCTGAGTGCACCATTTTACTCCTGTTCCTAAAAATCACACATCGCTGCACTGAATGAATGTGGTGAAGAAAACAGGAAGGAAAAGGAAAGAGTGTTTACCTCTTGGACCATTTCCTTAATGAGTTTGTTGGCGGCTTTGAGGTCTTCGGGGTGCGAGCTGTTCAATAGGCGAGACAACATCTGACAAAGTAGAAAGTCAGAGTTCACATGAGGAAGAACATCAGATGCTAGTTCATCACATCTACATAATTCGTTCATATATTTTAGTACGAAAGCCCTTACTTTGGATTTCTCTTCATCTTCAAAAATAGCATTCTTGGGTCTGGGTGGAGGAAGGTTGAGTAGCTTGTCAGGTGGCAGCTCAGGATCTTGTTTAACAATACCTGATTAACAAGCAGAGAACATGAAGGTGTTGAGTTATTTAAATGTGTCTAATCATTTTCATTAGTTGATTTACCTCATCTGTTACAACGTAAGGCATTTTATCCACGTGAGCCTATTACTTTAATTTTCAGCTCCAAATGTTCAACTCTACTAGAGCATCTTCATCTTCAAGTTCAGCATAATTACTCTTTAAAAATGGGTTTTGGCAGGATTCATCAAATGACAGATCGACTCTTACCTTGTTTTTTCAGCATTTGATAAGCGTCTGAAATCTTGGCTTCATCTGGTAACGCCAAAGTCCAGCTATAGATCAACTCCAAAACTTTTATTTTAACTGGCTCAGGGGACCGTGCTCCAAGGTACTAAATTGGAGATGAAACCCAGGTCATTTGCACAAAAAGCTAAACAACAAGAGAGAAGGGAAAAAAAGACATGTATCAAAGAGGCACAGACACAAAGAGACCTAAAGTCCTACCTTGGGAGAAACAACTTTGATGAGTTCATTGAGAAAACGGAATTTGCCCACTTCACTGTGAAACCTTTTCCCGCAGTTTTTCATACAAGTCTCCAGGACCTTGAAATTGAAGGGTAGAAAAAAAAATCTAAAAATGGCAAAAGCTGAAACTAAAGCATCTGAAAATAACTGAACAGATCCTGATTCTGATTTGAACTTACAAGTAATGCCTGCATGGCCTCCCACTCTTGTGGAGACTGGATCTTGTGGGCCAGGAGCCTGGTGGCCAGCTGCGGTCTATGAACATGTCACATTTTTTGGGGGTGGTTTATTTAAAATAAATGATGCATAAAATTATTCAAAATTCTAAAATGACTGCTGACAAAAGCTCTTTCCTAAACAAACAACAACAACAAAAAAATCTGTGCTCAATAATTTCTATTACCCTTGCCGTTTTCAAAAACAACTAGAAATTGGCATAATATATGTGTTGATATAGCTACAGTTACCAATGTTGTAGAAGAAAAACTGTCCTTTTATAGAAAAGATGAATATATCTCTGAAGACATGATCACAAGGCTCAGTAAGGCTATAATTATGTAATGATGTGTAAATAATGTCTTGGCCCCGGGGCCAGCTCTTACCCCTCCAACTCATTGTTGAGCTGGTCACAGAAGGCATGGATGCTACTCCAGTCTGTGTCTCTGTTTAGTGGATTTGTGGCTCTGTCTGAAATGGGATATCACATAAAAAAATGTATAAATGTTACTAACTTTTCTGCATCTTATTATTTTTTATCTTTAAATGCTTATGTTTTCGGATTTGGTTACTGGGAGTTGTTATAATGTCCTAGTATCTTCCTTCAGTTAATTACACCCATATAAAACTAATGAAATATAAGCACAGCGATACAGCCTAAATATAGCAGCCAAAATGCCTCTAAAACGCTTCTCTGTGGAAGTTTAAGTAAACATTACAGCCTTTATTAATCCATTTTTCCAACGTCCATTTTTGGACGTTTATGCTATGTACATAAATGAACTACAAGTATTTAATATACTGGCCACGGAGTGGATGAGGTCTTTCACTAAACATAAGGTTGTCTTGTCGAAATATAATGTACAAAACTTGGACTAAGCAGGCTCGAAGTGTATCCCAGCATGTCATCAAGCAGACTACATGGGACAGGTGCTAACTGAGTGTAAGGTTAGCTAGCTTGCTGTCGACAGTCACAGTCGTGTCACAGTGTCTTCTCGAGCTTTTCCACGAAGTCACAGGTTTGCTTTAATCACAGTCTATCCTATGTGAATGGAAATTCTGGGTCCCACGATCTTGCCCCCAGCATCCCGGTTTAGCTATAGAACCGTAAAACCAAAGCCAGCATGTCTGTGCTGTGTTGACAGCTGGAAGGTAGAGCTCCGCAGCTAGGTTAGCATCCTGGGTGTTACGGCGGGGTCCGAGTCCCCTCTAACGGGACAAGCGCAGCTATGGCGAGCTTTCATCTCATCTACAACAACTCACGGATAGTAACTTGTCAGTGTCTGAGTCCCCGGACAACACGGGCGCAGGAGAATAAGTTTAAAACACTCACTGATACGTGACTCCAAACTCTCTGCATCGGGAGGCGCAGCCATAACTGCGAGATTTATGTGGTGCCTCGATCTCGCGAGAAGTGGATGGACACGTAGAAAACAGAGTTGAATTACATAGAAAGCACTATGATATTTGTAATACATCAAGTAAAGGATCTATCTCATCTGTATTACATTTATTTTATATTTATATATATATCTATATATATATCTATATATATATATATAGATATATATATATAGTAAAATTAATAATATTTGGTATGTGGTATGCAATACATAATTCTGACTATATCAAATAATTCATATATTAAAATATTGCTCTATTTCACATCCAAACGTCCGTTAAAACACAATAAATTAAATTTTTCACTTTATTTATGAATGAAATTACAAAGTCTATTTGCATAATAGATTGTATCAAAGTGTTTTAAAATATTCTTTTATGATTTGAATACGAACCTTTCTAGTAAAGTAATTTTCATAGGACAAAGAGCTCGTGTGCAGAACATACCGGAAGTTGCGTTCCCTCAAACCAAAGCATTAAAAAAACCCAAATAAGCCTAACCTTTCACTTAGATGTTTATTTATATATTTATTTACGTTAGGTTTACACACTTTTTCCCTCTTACTTTCTTTTTTTCAACAATACCAACTCATGTAACTGAGTATCTATTTGTGGTCCAAGACTAAGGAAAGCTTCTCTTCCATAAAAAAATTGGGAAAAAAAGTAGTAAAAATGGATTGAAATAAGAAAAACAAAAAGGCACGGCCAGTTTTGAATCGGTCTGTCAAGTTTGCACCCGGACAATAAACTTATAATTACAAACCTTTTCTTCCTAATTAGCAAGAACAGCTCTGTGTCTCCCTCCAGTGGCAGCTATTAGGCATTTCATAGATTGTGGAGCACAACTGCAGAGCTAATAATGGGACTAAGTTTAAAATATCAGCTCTGTGTAAAAGACCAGAGGTCTGGCAGTGTTTCTCTAACAGTTCGCTTCACTTCAGGGGCTCAATGCATCTTTGCGGTGGAGGAAATAGCATCGAGCTGTAACGAGTAGGAGACTTGTGGTCGTGGTTTGAAACGCTGGAGCAATGCGCGGTCGCTTTACTTGCCTTTGTTTATATTTGACAAAAACAACACGAAAGGGGGGGAAAACATAAACTTCCTTCCTTCCTGCTCTTGCTGCTTCGCCACCACGACGTGCAAGTCTGGCCACAGAGAAATAGTTGCAAAGGTAGATGCTTTGCTTCCTGTTTCCTCCGAGAAAAAAAAAAAGCCAGAGCTGCACCACTTGTATCTGATCTCTCCGCGACTCTGATACGGTGCCATGTTCTGCTCCCTGCCCACTTGTGAAAAGTCGCACGAGAAATGGCATCACCGAGAGTTTTGCTGGAGTGGTGCCGCGTCACATGCGCCACTTATCCCGACGTGGAAATAACTAACATGTCAACCTCATTCACAGATGGACTTGCGTTCTGTGCTATCATCCACAAACACCGCCCTGACCTCATGTGAGTAATGCCATATGTTAACAGAGCTGTCATGGCTGTGCTGAGTGAAGTGTGCCTTGCTTCTGACTTTCTAACTGCTGTTTACCCCTGTCGGTTTCTGTTTAATCAGAAGCAGAGGGGCTTGTGTGCACTTTGATTAATCTGCCGTCATTTTGCTGATCTGCATCTCTTTTTAACCCTTTTTTTGTCCAGTCTCATTGGCCTGAAATCCGTTAATTTGGTTTATTTGACACTGAACCACTCCTCTGGAATCATCTCATCTCTGATCTTTTAATGCTTTTTGCTTCTATTGTATTTAGAAAAGTTCATTATGTAGCTAATCATCAACTTTGTCGCTCATTTATTGTTTTGTTTGTTTGTTTTTTATTGACTCTCTCCAATTTCTTCACTTTACTCCAGAGACTTCAGGTCCCTCTCCAAAGATAATGCTTATGAAAATAATAAGCTGGTGAGTTTCTGATTGGAAACCAGAACGAAAGCATCCCGCATCTTTGTTTCGGTTTATTCACTTTCATTCCCTGTTTCTCGCCTGTGGGCCTGCAGGCGTTTGAGATAGCAGAAACAAAGCTGGGCATCCCTGCCTTCCTGCATCCGAAGGATATGATTTCCACCAAGGCGCCCGATCGTTTAAGCGTCATCTCCTACCTTGCTCAGTACTACTGCTTCTTCAATGGGAAGTCTTCGGGTGCGTTTAAGATAATCTGCCTGTTGTAACCCCTAATTTTATGTTGTTGTTGTTGTTTTTATAGATACTAGCATAAATTTTCAGGCTGAGGTTTGCTGTCCTGCTCAAACATATACAGTTGAATTAATATTTTGGATGCAGTGTTATCCCTCACTCTTCAGGTCAGGTGAATGAAATCAGACTGGCCCGCCCTCAAAGCACGTGATCATGCACGGTGATTTGCGTGTCTTATCTTGACTTTACAGCAGGTCCTGCCAAATTGTGGTCATCGCACGGCACTTCCTCACACAGCCTCTCGAAGAGCAAAACTTACCATCATCCAAAGAGCATTAAGGTGAATGTTCACAGGCTATTTTGGTTCTGATTTAGTCATCTCTGTGGTTGTCACTTAAGCGACTGGTTTCTCTTCTGTTTTCAGAGCTTGACTGACAGCAAAACCAGTCGAGAGGAAAATGTTTCTGATGCGAGGCCGCAGACTGTGTGCAGTTTGTGTTTGAAGCCCGTGCACCTGATACAGAGGCATTTGATAGATGGAAAAGTTTACCACCGCAGCTGTTTCAGGTAACAGAAGGTCACAATGCTGTGCAAAAGTGTTCAGCCACCTCTAGGTTTCTTTATATTTTGTTTCCAAGGAGCCAGAATTTCTTGTCACTTTTTAAAAGTGGTCTCAAGCAATAGTTTTTCAGAGTTTCTGAAAATCTTTCAAAGTTCTTTGGTCATTGGCTGCTTTTTCGCTCATTTTTAGTAAAGTCTTGTAGCTGTTTTTCTTTTTTGTTTTTTTAATTTCTTGGTTAAACTGCTCAACACTGGCCTATGAGTCATTCCAGCATAAAAAATCCACCCAAATTAACGGATGAAACAGTGTTGTGTTTGCACATCTCACACTACTTGGTGAAGAACCAGTTTTAAATTGTATATTTAGGCACTTTGTTACTTGCATCCTGTGGCAAAAGTACGTCATTATTTCCCATTTATTTAGCTGAATCTACCAACAACAACAAAATGCCAAAGATAGAAAAGTTTGCAGGCATGAAATAGTATTTTTGCACAGTTTAGAAAGAGTTATTAGTTGAAAACTAGACATATCTCGGCATGGTGTGCAGTGGGTTTGAGGAAACTGGACAGGTGGGTGACATAAAAAAGACATTAAAGACCCAATAAACTATCTACAGTATGAAAAGTATCTAAAAGCCATGGACTTCAGAAATGGGGAAAAAATCCATCCACCTGAAACAGGATCTGAGACATGCTTTTGGACCTTCAGTTGCTCCATCTAATGCTCCGTAAAGCTTCATCACAAATGGTCTCGGTGGACGAGTGGCTGTCAAGAAGCCATTCTTAAGGAAGGATAGAAAAACAAACAATAGAACACTAACAGTCATGGATTGGCCTCCCCAGAGCCTGCACCTCAACATTATTGAAGCAGTGCAGGATCATCTTGACAGAGAACTGAACAAAAGAAGAACTTTGAATGTCCTTGAGAAAGCCTGGAGAACTATTCCTGTTTGCATGTTTCAATAAATCTCACTGCCTGTTTCCCACTTTCCTAGCAAAATATGAAGAAATGAGATCAGGCTCAATTCTTTTGAAAAGTACTATAATACAGTAATATCTGATCATATTCGACACTCTTGATTCAGTAGATCTGATAGATTTAGATTTCTCTTTTGTATTTCAGGTGCAAAGTGTGCCACGCAACTCTTTTAGCACAGTCTTACACGCAGGGAAGTGACGCTGGCTCCTTGATCTGCGCTTACCATGCGACAAACAGTAAAGGTACTCATGTCGACGTCAGCAGGCAAACTGGATCTCAAAGTAAACTTCAGACAGTTTGTTATTCTCTGGGTGGACAGCCTATCACCAGCGTCCCTAATTACACAAAGAAAACAGAGTCACAGGACACACTGAGTTGCAAGACAGCAGAAACGGGCGGGACAGAAAGGAAGGAGGAGAACAGAGAGGTCAAAAACAGAGAAAATCACTGTGTACAAGTGATAGATGGAAGGACTTGTCCTGTTCCAGCACCAAGGCGGATTTCTGTAGGCCCTGTTCCTGCAGCCAGGATCAGAAGTTCACAGACTGTAAATAGCTCCCCTGCTGCAGGTAAACGGGCACACTTGTTTTCTTGTAGCTGTTCAGTCGCAATTATTACATTCCTGCTTTCTGCGTGTATTCTGGTCATACATCTGTTTCTCTGTTTAGACATAATCATCATGTGTTTTGTTTTCCTCACTCTTTCTCTCTGCAGGTAGTTTATCCAGTCAAAGCAAATGTGCAGCCAGTCCGCCTCAAGGGTAAGTGTGACAAAAACAACCTGTTCATCGCTTCCTTTTGGCACGCACTTGTCTTTTCTTATGCATCTTTTCTGATTTGTATCTAATTATTTATTAAATGCTGAAAAACGAATTGTCACATTTGCCAATAAAAATATAAACCCAGACCTGATTTAATATTGGCCAGGGTGCTTTTCAAGGTTCTTACCTTGGAGCTCTTTAACATTTTGGGAAAGAAGAGGAAGTTCCAGGAGGCTAAATTGAGCGAGCAGTGAGCGTTAGTGTGGCCACATTAGTAAAAGTTTGCACTGACCTGAATTTGATCCTGGGTTACAAATTCACAATGCACAAATCCGTCTGAAACGTGTCAGTCTCACAAAAACGTTGATGTTCTGGCTCTATGCAGGTTTGAGGTATGTTCTGACATCGCAGACACTCTTGGCTTACGATCTAAAAACAACTACAATAGAGAGGCTTGAACAGATGATCTTGGAGGGGAGATGGGCCAAATTTAAATTGGATGTTTTCTTCCTTTTGTGGCCAAAGTCAACAGGTTTAACAGCACATCGTGTGTTTTGAAATATAGGTGCAAAGTTTCTGTGGTGGAATTGAAAGAAGTAAAAGAAAATGCTCATTCATAAAATGGAACAAGAGAAAAGGTCTTAATAACTGACTTTCTTCAATGTGTTTTTATATTCCAATACTCTATAGCACCAGCCCAGTCAGCGCTAGATCTAAAATGAAAAGCAGCCATCCATGGATGGCCCTCGTGCATCCGGGACCTTGGACACAGCTGCCTCCAGCTCCACCTCCACTTCCCACTTTTCGATCCAAATCTGCTTCTAACTTAGATGGGTCGTCCAAAAGACCCAAAGTTCCTGCTCCAAATCCTTTTGAAGATGTGCTGGAGGAGGACTCTCAAAGCGAGGCTGCTAAATCTGAGTCTGAAGACCAAAATAAGCCTTTTCTGGGAGCTACCCAATCAGAGGGCAGCACCTTGGGATCGCAGGAGGCTGAAGAAAAAAAAGCTCTCCCACAGAAGAGCCCGGATCTCAGAGGGCGTGTTGACGTCGCAGAACCTGACCAAGTAAAAGAATTGACTGCAGATACTAACACAGAGAGACCTTGTGGTGAAAGAGGTGGAGATGGTGGTCAGATTGCTCCGTCAGATGTGACAGAAGCAGCAGGTCCGTGTCCCATTCCTGCATCAAGACAGAGTCGCATTTTACCCAGAAGTCTTTCTGTGCCAGCCATTGCGTCTGACCCTCGTTCTGCACCTGTCGGTGAAACACAGACGGATGAAGCTGCCACATCGTGGCAAAGTAAGGTACGACAAGAGATCAGAGTTAACCAATAAAAGCCAAACATTAATGCACGTTTCACGTTCTACCAGAGGACATCTCATATGGCGTTTCTTACAGTTTTCCATATTATATATATTTT